GCACCCTGAAGTCCTTATTTATAATTCTAGAATTCATAATTGAGCTTGTGTATAGTTGTGTCTTTAATGTGTAGATGTGAAAAATACATTGCAAGGTGCAACCCTCGGTGATGTTATTTAACACCTTTATGATAAATATAGGCAAATTATTGGAAATTTGCTAAAATTATGCTAATTTTTAGTTTGTTTCAACAACTGTTTTGTTGGAAAAAACTAAAAGATTTTATACTAGCCAGGTTTTTCCTCACAACCAGAAAAAGTTAATTCACATCACTGGAAAAATTTACAACCCTTACCAAAAGATAGCTAGGTTTTGAAAATGCTCTTGAGCCCTGTGCCACTTAATAAGCATTGGGAGATTACACAGTTATACATTAGCGCCTTTACAGAAGGACATGGCAAGTATATGCCGGTGGAAGAGGCGATTGGGCAAGCTAGGATACATTTCGCCACAAATATTAAGTTTACCAAGATGCTCGATGGGCCTTCAAATATATTGGTGGCCAATGCAGAACCTTCTAATTGGCAAAATAATAAGCACCATGTATGTCTGCATTATACATTTTGCACTATCCCTGGGGAAGTAAGATCTACTTCCTACAGTATTATAGGATTTATGGACTTCCTTCCTTCGAGTTGACTTGTCTGGAATTGTTCAAGGTTAATTTAATAACATATGGCTCACTGTATCAGTTTTGGCACACACTTTGAAAAAGCATATTTTTATCAAAGACAAAGAGAACTTAATTAATTCATAATATGAACCATACTTCATAGTATGGAGTGGGTCTTGGGCCTTGCTGGACAGCCATGCTGCCCCATACAAGTAGCCCAATCACAGAATATTGATACGAAGATAATTTATTCAGTACAGTAGTATTACTGAGTTACAAGCAATTTTTATTAATTTAATGCATATACTGTATATACCTTGACATATATGCAGAATCTGAATTTTGTACAAAACATTTCGGCACTATACCCCACACAACATTAAGGGAAGGGCCACTAGCTCAGTGAAAAACAATAAGGGGAGCAGGGGGAATGGGGGGGGTCATACAATGTTCACCTTGGCCATGGCCATGGCCCATAAGATTGGGGGTCTTTGCTTTTGTTGTCTTTTTTTGGACGTTGTTAGCCCTGTTTTAATGAAGGGGTGTAAGCACAATTTTGCCGACTCATCTTATTTAAAACACTAATTAATATTTCTTTCCCAAAAATGTTGGCGAGCCGGGGTAGGAGGGGTTACGAAAAAAATTTTACAGCCATTTTTTTCTTTTCCTTTCTCATTAACCAACTGTCATTCGGTAATCTTTCCTTTATTTTTTTCGTAAATTTTCCAAAATCTTGCTATAAATATTTAGCTTTTAATCAGTGTAACTCATATATTTTAATTTTTCCATTTTTGCCAAGTTCTACAAAAACAATTTCCTGACTGCGACTCAGTAATTTGCCAAATGTATGGCGATTGGGGGTGTTATCCCCCCCCCCACACACACACCCTCTAATGATGTCCCTGGTAAATGTTCCCCCCCCCCTCCAAAAAAAAATAAATTAGACTATAGCATGTTCTAGATGTGGTACTAATTACTAAGTGATATATGACCCACGTCAATGTGTCTTCATCTCATGCTATTATGTGATCACCACTTGCCCATCTTTTAGTGAGAGCTAGGATCTTATTAGAGAGGGGGGGAGCTTGTTGGTTTTGTTATATGTGAGGAATTAAGGAATTTGGATGCAAATGAGGACAAGATGAGCTTATGCACATGTCATAAGTTATATCCCTGGAGGGGAACTCTGGGTTACATACTGTACTGTTAATGTAGAGACTTTCACAACTTTCATGAAGAGCTATATGTGGTCCAGGGAGAACCCCCCCCCCAACAGCCTTGTATATATAAACCTATTTATGGTAAGATAGAGGATTTTAGTTAAGCAACATTATATATTTGATGCTTAGGGACCGGTCATTATTTATGGAAGGATCGAGGGGAGGGAAAAAATAAGGGGGACCATATGTATAAATAAATTACAAGAAGGGAGGACTATTAAATTTTTTTCAAGAAAATGGGGGTGGTTGCAATTGAATTTGAAGGAATTTGTTTAATAAGCTGGTATCCATTTGGTTGGTAAATCTTGCAACTAAATCATGGTCACTGGTGTAAATAGTCTGGTGGATTTATCTTCTCTTTTGTCTGCTGTATGCAAATCAGTCTTCACCGATTGAAGAGATAAATTGACAATGTATAATAATAATACATCTGCTATCTTGACATGGTTACAATCACCCAGACCAAATGGAGACCTGATTTTAGTATTATATATAAAAATACTCCAATTTTCAGCCAATATATATTTTTGATCAATATTAATTATTTAATATCTTATCAGTTCCATATTCTTATTAGTTCCATATTCTTATTTAATTATTAACACTATAACGCCTGGGAATCCCCATTCGACGAGTAAAAATGAAAAGGGGGGAGGGGGGTTCAAAGAGGTATATTCTAATTATGTAGAGGGATCTCCATTACATTTCTGCTCTTTTAAGGCGGGGGGCTTTCAATTTTAAAAATTTAGGAAAGAGAAAATTGCGCTCCCCCTTCCACAAATAATGACTGATCCCTTATACTATACGTGTTATTTTTGACTTCTGAATTCATAAAGACGATCAAAATGAGCATACGTCTCAATGGGACGAAGTTATATTCGGCGAAAGGTATGTTTATGTTTATAATTTGTCAGTAATATTGCGTAATTTGATCATATACGAGCTCGTTTGACTTTCAAAGCTCATAAATCGCTATAATGTTACCATTCACTAAATCTATCGATAGGAATGAGTAGCTATCGTTACACTGAATCGAATGATGGTATTTTGGTCCACGTAGCATTTACCGAACTGAAGATATGAACCGCAAAAATGATAAATCTTGAGTGATTTGTTTAATAGGGACTTGTCGGGAAAGAGTTAATTTTAATTAGATGCAAGCACTCGCAGCGAGCTGCGAGGAGCTTCGTGCGAGGACTGGAAATCCGCCTTTAGTCGAGAAAAGCAAAGTTAAAGTTTATGTAATTAATCAAGGGAAATCTCTATTACATATAAAGATACGACACGCTTATGATTTTTCTTTGTGTTTTCCTCATGAATTATTCAGAAATTAAATGACTTTTTGAATATAGTATACTACTAAACCTTATCAACTTAGACTGTAGCTTATTGATGTAACTTGTTAAAACATGAAAACTGTAACGTTTTAAGTAAAAAATTTCAGTCAATCACTCCGCTAGGCCACTCTGTTCTCTATCTATATGATAGACCTTCCGATTATTCTCTTTTTCCCAATGACCTCGTTTTCATGTCAAATACTTACTCATGTTTTGTGCTTATAGTATAGGGTTAAAATTACTTTGTTATTGAGGCTAAGAACATCAAGAAACAAATTTGTCCTGGAAAACATGGGAATATAATTTGTGTGGGTAAAAGAGCCAATAATCGGTTAAGTCTAACAAAAATAAAAAGACTAACGCCTGTATTCTAAAAGCTCACTCACACTCAATGAGTGGAGGTCCAGTACGAGCTTTTCTTGAGTGTCAATGCTGTTTTTGAATAGCTGGAGGGTGAGTAATCACATAGTAAGGTACGACACGAACCCTCCAGCTGTTCAAAAACAGCATTGACACTCAAGAAAAGCTCAGATTGAAGCTCCACTCATTGAGTGTGAGTGTGAGTGAGCTTTTAGAATACGGGCGTAAATGCGAGCATTGTCGTGGATCAATACATGCTGTATGCATTATCCTTTTAAATTTTAGTTTTTCTCGTTTAAATTTATTAATATTTATTAATAATCCGCACACAATTAAGCCTAATATACGCACACTATTGACGCTAAAGTAAAATGAGATAATTTGGCAATTATAGTAATATAATACCGTACGTGCAAAAGAAAAGCCGGCTATTCGTATTCTGTACGCAGTACCGCCCTTTATACGCTACATATAACATATACTATAACAGCTATACAGCAGTTGAGCAATTGACAAATAAATATTTCGGCGTGCGTTATAATGACACTTAAGGCCGTTTTCAATTACGGTCGCTTTGCCCGAGCGGCCAGAGCGGACATCAAACGCGCGCACATACACCGGCTCATTTCAATCTCCATTTAATTAGAGACGAATTAACGATATACGCATGGCGAGAAAATCAAAATGGCGGCCTTAAATAGGCGCCGGCTTGTTTTGTTGATTCTTTTACGACGACGTTTAAGAAGGGAAAAGTACAAAAAGAGTTTCTGGGTTCGAGCAATATACAAAGAAAGAAAAATTAGAGGTGAATACTACACTCTTGTTCGGGAAGCCATGCTATTTGATAGCGATATCTCGTATGTTACCATCACAATATGAAGAATTGCTTGGCTTTGTTAGGCCAAAAATATTAGGCGTAAATGCCCGAAGAGGGGCTATTAGTCCAGGTGAAAGGCTTTCTGTGACATTGCGATATTTAGTGATTGGGGATGAATTTTCAACGATTGCCGCTAGCTACCGATTAAGTGACACTACAGTGGGACGAATAGTAAAAATACATGTTCAGCTCTGTGGGATGTTTCATGTTCTATTTAAAACACCTCGAGGCGCAGCCGAGCGTTATATATCTGATAAAACACGACAACGAGTGTTTTGAATAGCTTAAATTACGACTACAAAAGAATACTAATTAGGATGAACCATAGTATAATCATGCTAATTAAGATGAACAATTATATAATGCCACATGTGTTTTATCAGATATAAAGTCACTCCACGTGACATATTATGGCTGACATGATTTGCCACAAGGTTTATGAATTATTAATTAGTATTTTAAATATATATATATATATATATATATATATATATATATATATATATATATATATATATATATATATATATATATATATATATATATATATGTAACAAACAGAACGGCTACGTTTGAAGAAGTTTATTAAAAAAAAGGTATATTAAATACAAAAACTAAATTTTCGGCTGCATGCCACAGAAGAAGGCTGTGAAGAAGGCTGTGGCATGCAGCCGAAAATTTAGTTTTTGTATTTAATATACCTTTTTTTTAATAAACTTCTTCAAACGTAGCCGTTCTGTTTGTTACATATGAAGTCTTGTCGGCTGAGCAGAGTACTGGCATTTGTCATATATATATATATATATATATATATATATATATATATATATATATATATATATATATATATATATATATATATATATATATATATATATATATATATATATATATATATACCAATGACTATTTACGTGTTCCAAAAACTGCCGCTGAATGGGTGAAAAAAAGCCAAGAGTGTTGGACATTTACTGTTGACATTAATATTTTAGTTATATTTGCTCGGACGGGGAAAACTGGGAACGAAGGAAAAGGGCGCGAAAATTGGTGTAGGACACGGGATTTTAGAGATAGAGTATATTATACATGTTATGAGTTTATATTATGCGAATTATGCTATATGAAATAAAACTATCAAAAGTTAATGAAAGTGAGAAGCAAATAACATGGTGTCAGGAGTTTAAAATAAGCCAGCTCACATTATTGAAAATGACAGAAGAAGCGATCGGTAGCGAAGCAGAAAACACGCCGAACACAACCTCGGCATGTCAACCATTATTGCCAGCGGACTTGGCCATGCCTAAGCCATTAAAAACTGAAGGAAACCTTGCCTCAAATTGGAAGAAATTCAAGCGATCTTGCGATAACTATGCTATAGTGGCAAGACTTAACCGATTTGAAAATGAATTCAAAACAGCAATGTTCCTTTCGTGCATCGGCGAGGACGCAATGGAAATTTTTGAGAGCTTAGATTTTGCCTCGCAAGAAGACCGCACGAAATTTGACATTGTTGTAACCAAATTTAAAGAGTTATGCTTAGGTGAAAAAAACGGAACCTATGAGAGATTTGTTATCAACAGCAGACAAAAGAATGAAAACGAAACAGTCGACCAATACGTAACAGCACTGCGAACATTGGCACAATCTTGTAATTTCTGTTATTGTTTACAAGATTCTTTGATACGCGATCGCCTGGTCATAGGAATCAACAATAACGCAACTCAAAAAAAACTATTGCAAGATCGAAAACTCACCAGTCAAAAGCCATCGACATCTGTCGCAGTAGCGAGACCACGAAGAAACAAGTCAAGAAAATCCAGGCGAACAGTGAAGCAAATGAGGGTGAAATCAACGCCATTGTAAACAACAAAACCGGAAGCACAGGAACCGGACGACGCCATGACAGGCGTGTCGGACTTCATAGATGTGACGGGGGGCATGACAACAAAAATTAAATGCAAATATTGTGGAACAATGCACCAACGAAGAAAGGAATTATGTCCTGTATTTGGAAGCCGCTGCCGGAATTGTGGTCGCGAAAATCACTTCGCCAAAGTTTGTATGCAGAAAGGAAGATATTCCGGCCAAAAGCCACTTCAGGCAGTAATGAAAACGACTGAAGTAATTCAGGCGACTCCTTTATGACTGCCGAACTAGACCCCACCAAGAATGATACCATCAATACAATACACCAACCGAACATTTACAAATCACGGATTTTTGCTACCATGAAAATAAAAGGGAGGGACACAACCAAATTTCAAATCGATACAGTGGCAACCTGCAATATCCTAAAAAGGAGTGAATTAAAAGGCACTAAATATGAACGGCGCATCATACCTGCGGCACATGTTCTATAGATGTATAACAACTCATCACTCACACCCCTTGGAAAGTGCAAAATACAAGTACAAGACCCAACTACAAAGCAAAAGTTCAAAGTACCATTCACTGTTGTTGATGACCAGAATGCAAAAAGTAACCTTCTTGGCTGTCACACCGTGCAACAAATGAATTTGATTCAAACTGGGAGCCCAATTGATGTCGATCAAATTAATGAAGACCTGACTCGGCCTGAACAAATGGGTCTGACAATGCAAAACGTCAAAGACACATACCAAGATGTTTTTGAAGGTCTTGGCACCTTAGGTCCAGCACTGCATCTTGATGTTGATCCTGAAATGACGCCTGTCCAACTCCCGCCAAGAAAAATCCCAGAGTCGCTGAAGCAACCGTTGCGAGAACATTTGGACGAACTTGTCAAGCTTGAGGTCATAAAACGAGTAGACTATCCAACAGACTGGGTCAGCGCAATTGTTGTTACACCAAAACCGAATGGCAAAATTGGATTATGCCTCGATACCAGACCACTCAATAAAGCGCTGAAACGATGCCATCATCCAATACCGACAATTGACTACGTACTTGAAGAACTGTCCAATGCAAAAGTCTTTACCAAAGTCGACTGTAGCAACGGATATTGGCAAGTAGAATTAGACGAAGAGTCGTCTCTTTTAACGACGTTCAACGCTCCATTTGGACGATTTAAATGGCAACGGATGTCTTTCGACAACCTCGTACCCAGGGTATTTGCTCTTGGGGAGCGAAATACCCTGGTATGGTCTGGTCACGTGACCCGCGGATTTTGCGTAAAATGGCGTATTGTTTACTAGGGTCGGGGGAGTGAGTATATATTGTCACAATTAATTAGATGGCTCTATTAAAATATAAACAATATCCATTGAATCTTCAAAGAAATCGTGAAAAGAACTGCAATTAAAAATTAATATTTATCGTGATGTGACTTTCTACTCTATAATCTAGTGTTGTTCAAGCAAGTTGGATCAGATTTCAACTTATAGACTTGTCACTGAGAAAGCACGCGTGGACGGCGTGGCAATATAAACAGTACAAGAAAATATACTATCTAGACCGAACAATGTGGTTATTCATTTATTTAACTGTTAATAAAGTATATCTAGATACTCGAACCAAAAGAATTTATTTATTGATGAGATGTGGCATGGAATTGCAACGAAATCTTTTGATTTCCGAAATATCGCCAAGCCAAGACGCCAACTGTATCCAGATAGTGTTGACTATAAAAGCTTAGAAAACTTACTGCATTGGCCCTTGGCATTGCTGAAACTCAACAATCATGGTATATGTTAAAGTCTAGCTGTCTGTTGAAAATCTACAGTATTAAAATCATACATCAAAGATAAGTCAAACGACAGTATACTATATTATATTAATATGTCTTTCAATGACAATGGGCACTTTAATCTTTATATTCAGAATAGTAGCGTTTACAACATTTATAAATTTTATAAACAGCTTTCGTTTTGACACAACTCACACAAGTTAAAATTTTTTGCTTTATATATATTCTTAATAATACAAGTGAGATTTAAATGTTTTGCTTTGTGGAATAGAATACCGTTATTTTTTAATGGACAGCTTGTATCGTCTTTATCATATCCAGGATTGCTTGTAAATGCATATATCACTACGACACTATCGAATAAATATACACATATATTTGAGAGCCTTGTTTTTTAGAACATATTAATGACTAATGAACTAGAAATAAACAGATGATTCACAATGAAAACTTTAAAAATGTTAGTAGAAGTAGAAAACTCGAAAATTTAAGTTTATTCGTTTGACAGTCTGTGCGCGTCTGACACTGTAAATTTGTGATATATAGATTTAGTATATTAGGAAAATAATGATTAATAAAGACCAAGAAAAAGGCTAAAGCCTGACTATAATTACCGAATACTATGTACTAAATCCAAAATTTTATAATCACTGACAGACTTTCTCTGTTTTGCTATAGTATCAAATGTTTACATTTGCTAAATATTGGGCTCTACTGGCCAGACAATACAATACTGTTATTTCAATCATATAAACAAGACGCGTAGACGTATAGTAACAAGTAATTAAATCGGTGCAAAGCATATAAACATTTACAAGAAAGGACAAATCTAATGGCGTATTTTAAAAACATTACATATGTAGATATGATGACTGAAAAGCTCATAATAAACATTTGCTATAAAACCGCGCTCGAGTGTGAAGAGACGGCATTGAATAACAACACGAGAGAGCACTGTGAGTAACGATTTGCTTGGTTTATTGACTTGACTGTTGGTAAAAATGTAAGAATGTTCTTGTAAATTCATAGCAAACAAAATAAACAAAAATTAGCAAGTATTTTGAACTTAATAATTCGCAAAATTTATGTTTTTAACTGTTTAAAATAACTCCACTGCATGGAATCATGTAATTTGATACTTTCCCCACACCCCCTTGGGCGCTAAATTTTGGACGAGGCACGTGACCAGCCCATACCAGGGTACTTCCTAAATACCCTGGGAACGAGGTTGGTCTTTCGGGATCTCTCCTGCAGGAGAGATTTTCCAGCAACGACTAGACCAGGCAGTTGATGACTTGGATTGTGTACGGACTGTAGCTGATGACATTTTAGTAATAGGAAATGGAGAGACGATGCAGGAAGCTGTAGCCGACCATGACAGAAAGCTCAAGGAACTAATTGACCGCTGCAGAGCTAAACATATCAAGCTTAACCCAAACAAGATTGAGTTGAAGAAGACCTCAATGCCATACATTGGCCACATTCTTACCTATGACGGTGTCCAAGCGGATCCTGCTAAAGTACAAGCCATACTAGAAATGAAGCAACCCACATACGTAGCTGCAGTCAGAAGAATTCTCGGAACAGTTAATTATCTTGCCAAGTTCCTTCCCCACCTCTCACAAGTATCTGAACCACTACGACAACTCACAAAAAAGAATCAACCTTTCGATTGGGACAAATCGCATGACGCCGCTTTCACCCAAATAAAGAAATGGATCACAGAACCGCCAGTCCTCAAGTACTACGAGTCGACCAAACCCCTGATAATACAGTGTGACGCTAGCGACCACGGCCTGGGGGCCGCACTCATTCAAGAGGGAAAGCCTGTCGCATTTGCAAGCCGAGCATTGACACACGCGGAGATACAATACGCTCAGATAGAAAAGGAACTGTTAGCAGGGCCGCCCAGAGGGGGGGGGGGCAAAGGGGTCAAATTGCCCAGGGCCCCGAGTTGCAGGGGGCCCCTGAAAAATTTTTGTTGGGCCTCAGCCTTTTTTGTTTGTTAAATATTTCCGCGCAAAGGACAAGATATCTGTTTTCTTGGGCTAAGTACCGAATTTTGGCATAAAAAAATGAGATAAAGTCCCTCGAAAGCAATTGCAACGTACTCGTCCGGAAAAATTTTGTATTCCGGAAAAAAATTTTTAACCCTAAAATGGTACACTGACCGAAAATTTTTTGGCGACGGGGGGGGGAGGTTGTTCTCCGGAAAAAAATTTTTCCTGGAAAATTTTTTTAGATAGGGGCCCCTAAACCTCTGGGCGGCCCTGACTGTTAGCTATAGATTATGGAACCGAGCGTTTTCACCAGTATACATATTGCCGACCAGTCACAGTAGAATCAGACCACAAGCCGCTCGAAGTCATTCATCAGAAACCTCTATCAGTAGCAGCTAGACGTCTTCAAAAGATGATGATGAGATTACACCAATATGACTTAACCATCGTTTATAAGAAAGGGTCACAGATGCTGTTAGCTGACACACTCAGTCGTCACAATTTAGACAACTCCACCGATGAAGCACGCAGCGTCGACAGCGATCTCGACCAAGTGGACAGTTTGGAAGAAATCAACGAAATACTAAATTGTGAAACAACAACAATATTCCAAGATCACACAACGAAAGATCAACACCTACAGCAAGTCAAATTATTCATCCAGTCAGGATGGCCCGAAAGCTCCAAAGATCTATCTCCAACAATCACCCCGTACTTCCATCTACGAGACAAACTTACAACACAAGAGTGTTTAGGGGAGAGCGCGTCGTTATCCCAAAATTACTACGAAAGCAAGTACTGAATGAATTGCATGCAGCACAACAAGGGATCGCATCGACAAGTCGGCGAGCCAGAGAAACCGTCTACTGGCCACACCTGAACCAAGAATTGAAAGACAACATCTCACATTGCATCACCTGTGACACATTCAATTCGAAGCAGCCGAAAGAACCTCTCATCCTGCATGGAATACCAAAGGGAGCATGGGCAAAAATCGGTTGTGATATCTTTGAATTTGAAAAGAAATCGTATTTAGTAACAGTGGACTACTACTCGAACTTCTTCGAAGTTGACCGCCTTGAAAAATTGACATCACTGGCAGTCATAAAGAAATTAAAGCCCCATTTCGCCAGGTTCGGTATTCCA